GCGGGACTGCCTTTTTTTTTTTTTTTTTTTTTTTTTTTTTTTTTTTTTTTTTTTTTTGGTACCAGGGATTGAACTCAGGACCTTGTGCCTACAAGGCAGGCGGCGGAACCACTGAGCTAAATCCCTGGCCCCTAGCAGCTTCTGAAGGTTAACAGAGAACAAAGAAAATGTACACTGAATTAAGATTGAACATGAAGAGAAAAGTAGCGTCCATACTCAGCAGGTCCCCGCTCCCAGTGGTTTCCCTTGTCTTTGGTTTCTGTAGAGCCTGCTATGACACTGTTTTGAGTTAGCCGCATCAGGGGTGGACAGTACCTCCATGACAGTTCCTACTGCATCCTCCCTCTCCTGTGGGTGCCCAGGGAAGGTGTTCTCTCAGAGGTGGAGCCAAATGTGTGGTGGGAGGAGGGGAGGCACCCCATGGTGCCTACGTATAATCACCTGCCTGACAAAGGCCCGAGATTACCTGGTGTTCTTCTCATGTCAGACAGGACAGGGGCTGCAGGAGTGGTAAGGCCCATGAGCTTTGGATAGGGAGAAGAGCTCGACTGAGGGAGTGTGCCACTGCTCACCACTGCTGTGATGCCCAGGTGTGACCTGTGAATGGACATGCATGTGACACACATGTGAAAAGGTACACAGTCTCTTCTCTAGGACAGTGGGAAGGGCATGCTCTGGGGACACAGGCCATGCCCTGAGTGTGGCCCCACTATGCACCAGCTCTCTGGCTGTGGGTGTGGCTGACCTCTGAGGCTGTGCTGGGAGTGGTGAGAATGCAGTGTGGGGTGTGGATGGAGCAGAGAGAATGCAGGATGCATATAATCAAAGCTGGGGTTTGACAATGGGTGGGAGCAGGGCTTAGCTGGGAAAGGGAGGTGCTGTTACATGGTGTGGTTGCTCACAGAGTGGAGACTCAGACATGAGAAAATGTATCATAATAGAAACTTTGTAATTTGTGGACAATTATCATTGGAAAAACAATAATAGACTTTGATTAGCATATGCCACATGGTCCACATGCCAGATGGAGTTTTGTCATAGTTGTCTTGGCTACAGTACTGAATTGATCTGGGTTTCAAGTCATTATCAGCTCTAGTTTTGAGACTTCAGTGAGAATGCACTAGGCTTGGAAGCATTTTCCACATGCTGTAGGCGTCCAAAACCATCCCAGCTGTCCATGTGGTCTCCTGAGAGGGAAGTACTTTTTGGCAATAGAATTTATTTTTACGTTGATCTTTCCTTATGTTATTAGGTAGCAAAATCTCTCTCATCCTATTGTTAGTGTCTGCATTCATTTCAGGGCTTTTCCCAAGCCTCATGGCAGGAGGACAGTCCTTTCAGTTCCCTCTGTATAGACAGAAGATGGGCCAGGAAGGCCAGGAGGCCTAGGAACAGAGTTGAGAGAGTGAGGGCCAAGCAGAGCAGTGAGGGTGGAGCCTCAGCCCTCATAGGGGCTGTGACTTTTCCCACAAGACCCCTTTCTAAGAGTCCTCTCAGAGTGAGGGGCTAGAGAGGCAGTTGGTCCAGCTCCTTTCAGAACTGGATCCATTTTTATTTTGAAAATAAAAATGAAGCAGGAGGATGGTGTCAAACTCTGCTTGACTTACAGAGGAAACAAAAAGGAAGAGGGTTAGAACTCAGAAGTCCAGTGTGTGTGTGTGTGTGTGTGTGTGTGTGTGTGTGTGTGTGTGCATATACACACGAGACGTGTGCACATACACACATGAGACATGTGCATAAGTGTGGAGTGTGAGTGTGCACATGTGTCTGTGTGGGTCTGCAATGTGTGTGCATGTGTGTTCAGGGTGTGCTGAAGCTGGAGGAGGCCTATGGACATGATGAGTGGAGACCATGTCCTGCTCCATTGCCCCCTGAGAGTTTTGGAGATGGTATGTAATTCCACAGGAGGGGGGGTATCTCTGATTGTTAACTCAAGGAGTTCTGGTTTTAAGGGTTGGGTGCCATGAGGTTAAGGGCAGACCGGCTCCATGGATGTGCTGGCTTGGCCTCGGCCCATCATCTGGCTTGGGTGTGGACCACCCCACGCTGCCCATGCAGCAGGTATGGGTGTAGTGGGGTGGCTGTGACCACTGTGCTGGGAAGGCTGAGGCAGGAGCCCCTCGAGGAGGAGGCTGTGAAGCAGGAGACCTGTGTCTGCTGGCAACATATCCTTTCTCTTTGTGACTTACGGTCACAATTACTCTTACTTGGTGGCTGATATTCACAACAAAATATGTTTGTCCTTAATTTTAGAGCGAATAACAATACATGTAAATCAGCAGTTAAGTTAGCATATCGAGTACTGGGGTAAAATGTGCATCACATTTACAGCTCTGGTAATAAATCCCCTGCAGTGTTGTTGCCGCTTTGCCTCCCGCTTTGTATGGGGGTCTCCTGGCCCTGGGGACCCTGATAGGCAGTGATGATGACACCGCTGCAGCTGGGACTCACTCCTTGTGGTGCAGGTTGTGTACCTGTCATGTCTAACTGTCTGCCTTGATCAAGGCAGAGCTGGAAAGCAGTGAGTGAGTCTCCTGTGCCTTCCTGGCAGAGTTCAGACACCTGACATTTCATGGGGCAGACATAGCTGAGTGTGAGTCACTGCCTGAGCCCTGTGTCTACACAGGTCCCAGTTCCCTGTGAGCACCAGGCATGTACTGTGATGATTTCGCTGAGTCCTGTGACTACTGCCATGGTGGGATGTGCAAAGGTCCTGCAACATCAGGACTCAGCTAATGTGGTCACATCTTGGGCACTTTCTGTTCTTGGGCACTGATCTTCTTTCCTGCATTGACTGCTGTCTCCTCATCTCTCCCCAGGCTGCCTGCTGGAGGATGGCCTTTGCAGTACGTCGGAGGCCTGCATAAATGGTGAGTGTTTGGCAGCATTTGGGTCTGTCTCTCCTGTCAGGTGGCTCTGAGTGAGTGTGCTGTGCTCTTCTGTCCTGAGCACTGTGGCCAGGAGAAATGGAGGTGGATGAACACAGGTCACACTCTCCAAATGCAGAGGCATGCACCAGCATCTGGTCTGTTGGTGTCCTCATGTCTTAGGGTGGATCAAGAGAGGCTTTGCAGCTGGATAGGAGCAGCTCCAGGCTGGCCAGGAGGAGGCCCAGGTGGCAGCCCTGCCCACCTATACCTCTCCTCCTTGCTCTCTGCCCCTTTGTACTTCGCTCACCTTTTGATGGGGCTCAGACTCACAGCCAGGATGTTTTGCTGTGAGTTGTAGGGCAGGATCTGGGGTGGGGAGGGGCAGCTGTGGGGGCTCCTCCTCTTCAGGAGGCAGCTTGCCTCTCCTTCCGTGGGTAATGAATTCAGGGTGATTTGCAGTTTGAATTCCGAAATAAACCTGAAGATCTGAGAAGGGACAAAAAGATACACACAGCTACTTTCCCCAAAGTGAGTGGGATCTGGTCACACTGTGTGTAGGGGACACACATTCCCATCTCAGTGTTCCACCCACAGCTCTGCGTCAGTATGGGCACTGTCTTTGCTGGGGCCTCACACACCTTGGTCAGGGCCTGGCAAAGCTGCCTCTTGAGTGCCCTTTCTGTGCAGAGGTGATGGTGGGGACCCATGTACATGGGAGGGCCCAGCTGGGGCCCAGCTGGGGCTCCTCATTGTTGAGCCCCAGGTCAGGTGCAGGTGCCCTGTCTTCCAGAGCACAGGTCCTGGGCTCAGCATGCACACCACTTGCTTTGGGTCTGAAAGGCAAAAGCAAGATGCCCTGTTCACTCTGAAAGACTGGGAGTCTCAGGGCTGGCAGACCTACACTCTGACTGTCCTGGGAGAGGGTGTGCTTGGCAGTCTGGAGCGTTCTGCTTTGACCTGTTCCTTCTCAGGGAGGCTTCTGCACAGAATGTGATAAGTGGCCTGGATTACAGGACAAGAAGAAGCTTGGCAGTGGCCAGGGGCAGTAGCAGGTTGGAGATAGGTGCCTTGAGCTGGCTGCATGGCCTCTGTCTAACTTGGCCCTAGGCTTCCTGGAATGTACCTTGGGCAGCTTTCTTTTGGAGGCAGCATTTTAAAAATTATATTCAAATATGTTATCTTCCTGAACTCAACAAAATTTTCAGGTAAAGAAAGCAGGTATATGTTTGATTTGACTGAAAATGTGCATAGCATCAGCAAAATAAAATCCAAAACTCTGCAGCCCCTTTGACAGAAAGCAGGTCTGGACAACTGTGACTATATTCTTCAGTTTTCTCTTTTTTAACCTCCTCTCGCCTTCCTCATGGGCAACTCTATTAATGTTATATTAAGATAACAGCTTTGAATTTTTTAGAAAAAAAAAGCAATATAAATGTAAGTAGAAATCTTCAGTCCTTGGTTTATAGCAACAGGCAATGTGAGATCTTTTTCTCATACAGTTAAGGTCCAGGAAGCAGCCACGAAGACCTCCCCATCTCTCAAACTGCTCCAAGTCTGCAGTCAGGAGCAGTGGGAAACAGCACATCCTGCTGCTTTTACTGTGGCCTGGATTTATGGTTGTCATGGTGATTGCATAATGGAGCTGACAGCTGGTTGGCCAAGGGGTGTGGCAGCTGCACTGAGGACAGGAAGTCCAGAGTGTTCTACAATATTCTGCAGTCAGACACCGATCTTTCTCTTTCTTCCCAGCTCCCTTTTCCTGGGATGCAAGTAGAAATGTATAATCCCCTTAGCTTATATATATATATATATATTTTTTATTTTTTTTCTAAAAGCCCAACAGGCCTTTGTTAGAAAAAATTGAAATGTTTGGATCAAATAAGACACTTCATGTCTTAGCTACTTTTCTCGTTGCTAAGACAAAATACCCAACACCCACAAGTTAAAGGAGGAAAGGTTTATATAGCTCACAGTTTGGAGAAGTTTCAGCTGTAATTGGCTGGCTCCAAGGCTGGATGGCATGGCAGACAGGCATCACACACAGAAGAGAAACAGTTCATAGTGGGCAGAAAACAACAAAGCAACAAAAAAACGACCATAGCTCTTTCTGTCTCTTATATCTTATCCAGACTACTCAGGGCAGGTAGCACTCACAGCCTTAATCCTCGTGCCCTTGAGCCTAGCATGGCACCAGGGTCATAGATCTAGCCACCTCTGAAAAAGCCTCACCTATGATGGCATGAGGCTTTGGGGAGACATCTAGATATAAGCCAGAACATTTCATAAAGTCAAATGATAAACCTACTTTACCAACGCATACCTGTTAGGATTGTTATTTGTTTTAGTCACTTTCCTCTCACTGGGATAAAATACCTCACACTACAATTTAAAGGACAGATTTATTTTGGTTTTCAGTTTCAGATGTTTCAGCCCATGGTGGTTGGTTTGTTCAAATGTAGAAATGGCATGGTAGAAAGGCCTGGTGGAGGAAAGCTACTCATGTCTTGGAAGACAGGAAACATAGAGAGAAAGGAGGAGCTAGAGAGGGAGATTAAACTCTTCCAGGTCAAACCCAGTGACCCGCCTCCAGTCAGGCCCCACCTCTTACAGCACAGTCAGCTGGTGAACTTACCAGTACGTGAATCCACTGATAGGTGTGATGTCCCATAATCTAATCACATTCCAAAAGCCCCATCTCTGATTGCACAAGAATTTGGGGGGAAATTTTGGATGTAAACCATAATACTATTATTAAAAAAAAAAAGCACTGGCAAGGATCTATGGAAATCAGTGGGAATGTAAAAAGTGTAGTGCTGTGGAAAACAGCATGACTGTTCCTCAGAAAGTTCAAGACAGATATGATCCACCAACCCTACTTCCAAAAGAATTCTAAAAGAATTTATAGCAAGGACTTGAAGGGATTCTTGAATACCTATGGGCATTGCAGCATGTTTCACAAAATCCACAAAGTGGATACAATGCAAGTGTTCATGAAACAAAAGGTGGTCCATCCATACTATGGAATATCATTTACCCTCACCAGAGGAAATTCTGACATGCTACAACATGGGTCAAAGTGAGGACATTATATTAAGTGAAGTAAGCCAGAGACGAGAAAACAAATATCATATGATTCCACTTTTATGAGGTTCCTAGCATATGCTTGTCACATTCATAGAGACAGGAGATAGAACAGTGGGTGTAAGGGGCTGGGGAGGTGAGGTGAGAAATTATGAATTGCTGTGAAGTTTTACTTTGGAAAGATGAAAAGTTCCAGAAATGGGTGGTGTTGATGGTTGTACAGTAATATGAATATATCTAACACCACTGAACTGTGCACTTAAAAATAATAAAGATGGTAAATTTGTGTTGTGTTTATTAATCACAATGAAAAGTTTAGAAAAGTAACCAAATAATTTTTGTCATTAGAGAAAAAACTGTAAGCATTCTGAGTGTGTATCTTGAGGTAAGGTGATCATAGCACCCTAGAACAGGTTGTAGAAAAGGAAGTTTAGATGTAGTCACACAGGCATCACACATGCAGTGAGGGAAACAGGTTCCAAAATAATTTAAGTAGATTTGATTCCTTGGTCAGTGTATTAGCTTTTCATCACTGTGACAAAATACCTGAGCATCACAACTTAAAAGAGAAAAGACTGCATTTTGACACTGAGCTTCCGAAGTTTCAGTCCATGGTCAGCTGGTGCCATTGCTATGGGCTGAGGGGAGTCAGAAACATCATGGTGGAAGGGCCTGGCAGGGCAAGCTTCTCACTTCATGGTCTCTGGGAAGTAAAGATGGAAAGAGCCAGAAAGAAAGGGGCCAGGGACAAAAATCTACCCTTCAAAGCAGTGACCCGGTGACCTGCTTCATTCAATCAGGCTCCACCTCCTACTTAGCCTGTTCAACTGCAAAACTCAGGGATAAAGTTAGAGCCCTTGTGAGGTAGTCACTTCCCAAAGCCCATCTCCTGGCAGCCAAGCCTTCCGCACTCATGAGCCTTTGAGGGGAAATTTTGGATACCAATCATAACATTTGATAACTCCAAGTGGGACACATCTGGAGGCAGATGGCAGGTCCTAAAAAGAATCCTCAAAGGCATGATAATCACTTACACTATACATTGCGTGATTAAAAAATATAGAGAATATTTAAATTTTAAAAACTACAGTAAAAGATCCACTGTCATGAATCTCCACCAAAATACTCCCCCTTGCCTTGAACACTTTCTGAAGCAATTCTGGAGTCCTCTTTCCTGAGTGTCTTTAGTTGTGTTGTCCTGGCTACCTTGATGTCCTGAATAGACTCAAAATATTTACCTTCCATAGTCATGTTGACTTGGGGGAAGAGCCAGAATTCACATGATGCCAGATCTGGTGAATAAGGCAGATGAGGACTCGCCATTGCAAATGTATGACTTCACTTTTTATTTTTTTATTGGACTTCACTCAGCAGGAGCATTCACCATATTTCTGATCACACCTTGTAAAGACATGATTTCTAGAGACAAACACTGAGGCATGGAGATGGGGCACCCAGGATGGCTTGGGCTTTTGAGGGACCTGGCCAGGCCAGCTGCACCCCTGTAGAGCTGGCACTGTGGGTGCCCCCACCTAAATCCTGGAGGAAACAGGGCAAGTTCCCATGTGCAGGGAGATAGCCTTGAAGCAGCAGGGAGGGTTGAGCAGCTCACAGCCGGTGGGTTCTGGCTCAGGGTGCAAGGCTGAGTCAGGCACCACCTCGCCCCCTTTTAGTGTTCTTCCCAGCTGTTGTCATGGCAACAGTCAGGGTTCTGCAGGGCATCCCTGGGACACACAGAGGGTGAAGGCAGAGTAGACTGGCACCACTTTATCAACACCTTAGATTGCATCGGTTTCAGAGGGCTTACCCCATAGTCATCTGGTCCTCAGGGAAAGCAAGAGCAGGTGGCACAGACAGAGCCCCAGGGTCACACTACGAGACAACAAACCTCACAGTTACACTGCAGAAAGAAGCAAGGC